AAGCTGAAAGGCGAGCCAATAGTATGAAAAACAGATTGATGAGAAACCAGAAATTACTGGCTAAGGTCAGAGAAGGTTTCAAAAATGACGTCAAAAACACGTATATCTGAACTCACAGAAAAGGAGCACATCACCATGTTGCAGAACCCAGACCATTGGGTACTGCCTTGGATGATTGTGACTCATCCAGATAAACGCAACAAGCCTAGACGCATCTTGGACGCTGTGGCAGAAAATTGCGGGGTGTCTCTAAATTCACAGCTGAGAAAGGGGCCCCAAGTGGCACCCACTGTAGCTGGTGTTTTGCTGAGATTCAGATTAAAGAAAGTGGTCATCAATGAGGACATCTTTGAGATATTCCCGCAGATTCTGGTATGACCAGAAGACAGGAACAAGTTGAGTTCTTGTACAGAGACCCTGAATGGGGGGAGAAATGGGACATCAGCAATCGCCATATATTTGGTGCAACGTGCTCTCCTGCCATAGCAAACTGTTGTGTGCGCCCAGTAGGTGAAAGAGAAGGCAAAGAATGTCCACAGCTAGGTTTGATAATGAACCAGAGCATTTATGTGGACAATTTATATGCCGGATTTGATACCACCAAAGAGGCCACAATGATGGTTAAAAAAAATAGACAAAGCCGTGAGAAAATATGGTTTCATCATGACAAAATGGAAATCTAATTTTCCAGAGGTGCTAAAAAGCATCAAAAAAGAAAGACAAGACAACTCGCAAAAGAAAATCGGCGAGACAAAGATTTCCAAAGCCTTAGGGCTATTGTGGGATCCCTCAGAGGATCAATTTGGGTTCTCATGCCGTAAGAAAAATACGGAGGAGGGGAAATGGGAAGACAAAGATATCTTGTCAGGGGCACAGTACTTGTCAGTACTGGCATTGCTGTACAACCCTAAGGGGTACTTGGGTCCATTTACCTTTGCTGGCAAACTTCTGCTGCAAAAGGCTTGGACATCCCAAAAGAACTGGCACAAAAACCTGCCAGAAGAAATAAAAAAGAGTTGCAAAAACTGGATGAAAGACATCCACATGATAAGGCAAGTCCAGATCCCAAGATGGATCCAAATGGACAGCCAGAAGCCTTATGAGCTTCACATTTTCAGCGACGCCTCTGAAAAGGGGTATGGAGCTGTTGCCTATTTGAGGCAAGACAACAAAACATGTTTTCTTTTTGCTAGATCAAGGATCACTCCTGCTAAACCACTATCTATCCCTCGCATGGAGTTGCAGGGATGCTTAATCGCAAAAAGGATAGCTGAGTTTCTTTTGGGAGAAGTATCCAAGATTAGCATGGTGGAAATTGTGTTTTGGACAGACAGCATGGTAGTGCTGGGCTGGTTAAAAAATCCTGCTTCGAAATACATAAAATTTGTGGCAAACAGTGGGTGAAATTCAGGAATTCCTGGATAATGCCCCACAGGGATTGATTCAACCACCAGAATTCATGCATGTGTCCACCAAAAACAACCCCACTGATTTAATCAGCCGGGGTACAGACTCAGCAGAGTTTAAGACTGCAGAGAAAGTGTGGTTCGGAGGTCCAGAATTCTAGACAAAAAATCAGGAAGACTGGCCTGCCCAGCCCAAGGAGCATAAAAAATGCAACCAAGAGATAGGGGTACAGACTCAGCAGAGTTTAAGACTGCAGAGAAAGTGTGGTTCGGAGGTCCAGAATTCTAGACAAAAAATCAGGAAGACTGGCCTGCCCAGCCCAAGGCGCATAAAAAATGCAACCAAGAGATGAAAGAAAGCGCCAAAGAGGTGCAAAGTGTATTTGTATTGAAAGAGAGAGAAGATCCTTACAAGGACTTCAATGACCTCATCAAAATTGTACCAACCCCAGAAAGGGGAGATGTAAAAAAGATCAAAACTCCCAAAATTTCAGCTATCAGACAAGCGCAGAAAGAATATTTCCATCAGGAATATTCAAAGGTCTTTAAAGGAAAAAGGATGTTGTTTAAAACAGGTCCACTGGCAGGATGGGTAGTATGGCAACTCAAAAGAACTCCTCAGAATTGAGGGAAGGTTAAAAAATGCAAAACATATTACTTCAGGCCAGAAACATCCCATCATCCTGCCAAGTGATGCTCCTATTACTAAACTCACAAGAGACCAACATAAAAAATGTGCGCATGCTGGAGCTGGAATTGTTCTAGAGTTTTTAAGAGAAAGGTACATGATACAATACGCAGGAAGTACAGCAAAAAAAGTAATGTATTTCTGCAGGGAGTGCAGGAAAAGAAATCCTGTCCCTGTAAATACCATCAAGGCCCCATTGCATGCCAACAGGGTCACTGAAGGGTTGCCCCCATTTTACCATTGTAGTGTTGACCATTTTGGCCCCTATGACAGCAAACACAAGAAAAAGTACTGGGGACTTCTGTTTATGTGTATGACCACTCGAACCATACATCTCAAATTGTGTTCTGGCTTGAGTACAGAAAAATTTCTTCTTGCTCTACAGCAATTTATCAACCATAGGGGCAAGCCCCAGCACATTTGGAGTGATTGCGGCACAGCATTCATTGCTGAGGCCAAAGAAATTCAAAAGAATTATTTCAAACAGGTCAAAACCACTTGCGCAAGCAGGTGGCAGTTGAAATTCCACACCAACCCACCAGGGTTACCCCACTGGGGTGGCTCATGGGAAAGAATGGTGAAAGAAGTAAAAAAAGTACTTAGCTGCATGCATCAAAGATGAGAGATGGGCAGAAGATGTCATGAACACCTTCCTCACCAGAATAGAGGCCATCCTGAACAGGAGGCCACTGCGTCTGGATGGAGAGGGCAATGCTCTGACTCCTGCAATGCTGCTACAACCTTTAAAATCCATTCAACCCCAGGCAGAGTTGGCAGGATCCAGCCTTCAAATGCTCCAGCATATAGGAGAAGTAGAGGGCCTCTTTTGGAAAAAATGGAGAGCCTCCTACCTTCTTATGCTTAATGCTGAGAGGCTAACTGGAAGAAAGAAACTGATCCAGTTGAAAGTTGGAGACAAGGTCTTGCTGGATGACAGCATTTCCAATGCGTTCACCAACAACTGGAATCCTGGAAAAATTACTCAGGTCCACCCATCAAGAGACAGCGTGGTCAGAAAGGTCACTGTGGATACACAAAATGGTCAAGTAACTCAGGGTACAAACCAAGTGGCCATAGAGTCCTCAGTACTGGCCAGAGATGCGTGGAAACCGTAGAAAAAATGCATAGCGGTTTCCAGTGGGAGTGTGGGAGATTCCTGAGAAGGGGGATCCCCAGATGGATCCTCCTCTCTTTTGCAAGAAAATGATTTAAAATATGAGACATTAAATTAGGACGAGTCCCTCTTTTTGTGTTCTGGTGCAAAAGGAAAAAGCAACCCTAGAATAAATAAGCACTAAGAATTACCATTGATACTTGTACCTAGTTAATGTACCAAATATTTCTTCCTGGAAATTTGTTCTGATACCGCAAGAATCTTTAAAAGGGTTTAACTGGAATGAATGAATTGGGGAAATATTTGTTGCATATGTGAAAATAAATTTGTAGAAAGATATTGAAGATTGGAGATGTTCGTACATCAGTTATTTGTTGCATATACAAAGGTTAGTCCTGGATACTAACTTGATTATTTTGCGATTTTATTTGATGCGCAAATTTATGTGAGATGTCAGATATGTTTTATGTATTTTAATATGTATTTGAGTTGAATGCTATTTTATTTGATGCGCGTATGGAGGAAATTTGACCTGCGCGGAAATTCAGTAATTTTGAGAATTCTCAGAAAAGAGTGTATAATTTGCTATGCCCAATTCGATGCGCTTTTTCCGTTGTGCAATTCTGGATGTTGTGACCTCGGTTTAGGCTGCCTGGGAACTCTGCGCAACCCATCCTTGCAGGAGGATTTCAGCTTGGGATGTGGATTTGGCCACCAAAGGTTGGTGAGCTAATCTTTTGCAGAGTGCACTCTTCTCATTTCTGTTTGAGCGCCCAAAGAGTGCGCATGTATTTATGTTTGAAGAATAGATATTCTAGTGGGTTAAATTAATAGTAAATAAGAAGAAGGTTGGTGAGCTAATCTTTTGCAGAGTGCACTCTTCTCATTTCTGTTCGAGCTCCCAAAGAGTGCGCATGTATTTATGTTTGAAGAATAGATATTCTAGTGGGTTAAATTAATAGTAAATAAGAAGACCCACGCAGATGGATTTGACTTGGTGTTTTGATATTCATTGAATGTATTTCAAAATTTGGTTGATATTTCTGTGTGTGTTGTATTTTATGAAAATGTGATTGATGGAATTTTGGTTCTTGTTTCTGACAGATGGAGGCTAGTACAAGTGGTGGTTTGTGAAATTGTTATCTTTGACTTGAATAAACTGTTTTAGTCTTAAAAGGCTGAATAGTCATTTCATAATTCAGAAGCAATAATCTAGCCTCACTTAGTGACCGTCCGTGTTCTAAAAATAAGTCAGCCTGCAGTTTACACCCACATTTGGCTCTTGGTGTTTGATAAGCAGTTTGGGCAAAATCAGTGCAACAAGAAAAGTAACACCTAAGAAGTAAAGAGTCTGTGGATCCCTTGATCTCTGGCCATCTCGTAAATCATCTTCCCGGACCCGACCGGGCGTCAGTGCGTCAAGTGCTCAAGATTTCACAGTCACCATTGCCATTTGTTTGTGGCAGTCTGACAGGGTTGGCAGTGCAGTGAGTTCTGTGTGGGTGAGTTCTGGTGCGTTTTTCCCTCACCTAGGATGGATTTACAACGCCTTGCATGAATTTATGATCTTACATAAATTTAGACCTTACATACATTTATGGTGCTTACTGGGCACATTAGTGGCACTTTTGGAATGCTTGAAGAAAAAATAAGAGTCCAATTTTGTCAGGTTAGGCTCTACCAATGCTCACGCGTCATGTCCTTTCAAAAATTCATATTCGCCCTGGTTGGGACGAATGGTGAAAGAACCACCAGCAGAAGATTCCCAGAGGTACCGATTGTCATCGTTGCGCTTAGATGAGACAGTGACACGATCAGCAAACAGGTATGCGGAGTAGAAGCCCACACCGAATTGACTGATCATAGAGATGTCAGCTCTGGCTTGAAGAGCTTTCATGAAGGCCTTTGTTCCAGAACGTGCGATGGTTCCCAAGTTATTGACGAGATCCGCCTTCGTCATGCCGATTCCACTGCAGGAAAAGATGAATCATTGCAATGGTTATCCTCATTATCGAGAGGGGCACCTGAAAGATTCAGATAAAGCTATCGTTGAATGAAATCGGATACGCCTCAGGACCGTTACTTTCGGTCAGGATGGGTAAGAAAGTTCATCAAAAACTCGGTGCACCATCATATAATTCGTCCAAGTTGTTGAGAAAATCACGATACATACAGAGTGTACGGTAAGCTCATACAATGTGCCAAAAAAGTTTTCGGAGTTTCCGAACGCCATTGCTATAGAAGTAAAACGCTGTCTGCAACCAGAATCCCAAAGTTAAAGTCAGCAATCCAATTCCAAAAAATACAGTTTTCGTGCAGAAGTCTCAGAAAGCTATGGGAAAAGATAGAAAATTAAGCGATGACTAATCTGAATAGATTTGGAATATACTTGGTATTGTAATGATTACACGCTGCTCTTCTTTCACAAATTTTAAACTGTAATCTTTGAAAATTGCCTTAATAAAACACGTGCTTGACATGATACAAATTCAGATCAGTGAAGATTCAGACATCCGTCTTCTGTAACAGGCATCTCCCAGGCCCTTGGGTTTCACAGATAGTACAACTTTTAAAACGCTGTAATTCAAGCTACAGCACTAGCTGGCTGTAAGTGTTCATTGCTCAGCAATGATTTGACAAAAGCTTTATCAGTACAGACTACTTTCTAGAACAAAGATATTTAAAATTATCCTCAGTTTTGAAATCCTCAAGATATTAGTTGCGTACAACGTCGTATAGGTGACACATATTCACTTGCTGGTTTTAATTTCATTACTGTATGCAGGTAGTAAAATTCCGTTCCCACGAATTTAGTCATAACCTTAGGTGCATTTCTTGCACGAGGGCAGATTGTACATTAATAAATACTTGATTTCTACATAATGCATAGAAAAAATAACACCTTAATGAATCCTGATTATTCCGGAGCGATGCTTTTAGTTATTGTGTTATGGAAACATTCAAACTTATCCAACTCACAGTTAGCAGTGGCACTGTTTCTTTGCCCACTGCTGGAAGTAAATATTTACATATGCAAATCCTACCTTAGAAATACGTTACACCCAATTTTAAATATGTTACACCCAATTTTAAATGAAGTGAGTGCATCATGTCCTTAGATTTTGACTACAGTCCTCCGGCTAAAATCTGAAATTCAAAACGGCTTGCCGTGTTGCACATATTTATGATATGATTACCTATTGAGAAAGATAGCAATAGTGAAGAAAAAGTGTTATGCCATAAGCATAGCCTCAGGACCGTTACTTTCGGTCAGGATGGGTAAGAAAGTTCATCAAAAACTCGGTGCACCATCATATAATTCGTCCAAGTTGTTGAGAAAATCACGATACATACAGAGTGTACGGTAAGCTCATAAAATGTGCCAAAAAAAAAAGAAAAAAGTTTTCAAAAATATTCAGTAATTTGTGTCCGCAATTTTAGTTGGATTGCGTATAAAGAATTAACTGGTCTTTTTTAACCATGCGTCAATGCGTTTGGTCAATGATGAGACAGATGTCCATGAGCTTTCATATATCACTGTTTCAAGGACAAAATCCCCGAAGTTGAAAATATTTTGGCATAGATTAAGGTCTTGTTTTGGGATTTCATTAGGTTCCTCCCGCTTTCGCTGTTTTCCACTTATTTCGGTAAGCTTCTGAAAGCTAAGTGGGAAAACAACGCGGGTATAAATGAAAGGACAAAGAGAAGAAATATAATCTTTCTATGTTAGATGGACTCTCTGTACAACAAATCTGAAGAGACCAGAAAAAAAATCGTCGCAGAGAGAAAATTGCTTCGTAGAGAACTCCATACCGTGGGGATTTAACCCCGTGGGACCACACAAAAAAATCTGTATACGGTACAAAGAAAATCGTTATAGAAAATATTGTTCTGCAGAGAGTGCTACACTTTCCATGCCGCACTTTTTGCGGCCCTGCAGGAAAACTGCTATAATTTATAATAGCTGAAAGAGTGCTTTATTTGTCTACTCGCATTTCAAATCGCGGCCCGGATTCGCTTTGCTGTGTATCTGAATTTCGGTCAAGTTCACCTGCAAAGCTTTTTTTGCTGCCTCCTTGCATCCCTACGGAGCAACCATGTGGGTGATTCCGGAATTGCGAAAGAAACCAGGAGAAGCGCTAGCATCAGAGCCGCACTCAAGAGGGCCAAATCGCGCCATGGCAGGAAGATTGCCGCCACACTGACAGTGAGCAGTGTCATGTATTGACTCAGCATCGAAGTCGATGAAATGAACCCGCGCGTTTCCGGTGAAGCGATCTCCGACAAGTATATTTGGCCGATCGGCATTGCAACGCCTCCACAGATGCCGAGAATAGCGCGGGAAACGAAGAACAGTGTCAGGCTCTTACTGAAGGCAAGTAAAACCCAGCTCGCTATCAGAGGCATGAGCAGCAAGGTGATGTTCATCCGAGGACCAGCCATCGACGACATATAGTGGCCAGCAATGGATCCGACCATCATCGAGAGTAATGAAAGGCTGTCTGCGGAAAAAAGTAAACTAAGTCAAAACAATGATTACAGATCGCATGGTCAGCATCATCGCCAGAGTGCCAGACTGAACGGCTTCCGACATTTACTACCACGATTGCACTCCGCCACGGGCTCTCATAGTTGAGCATCAGCAATGCGTGAAATTTTTGTTTTCAAGAGGGGAATATCAGCTCAAAATGTTTAATCTGATATACGCACTTTAAAACCAGGAAAATCGTAGGCAGTTAGATACTGATCATTAGTGAGATCACAAAACATTCCTCTCTCGATCAGGTTACGTTTTGGATTACCAGTTCAGAATGTTTCTTGCTTGCCATCGAGAGAAGAAATACAGTGGGCCCTCGGTTAACAACCTTCATTAGTTCCAGACAAAACTTCATTAACCGAGGGCGCACTGTACGGTATATTCAAGTGCTGGCTATTATCTCACTTCATGCGCAAGAATAACCTATACAGTAGGCGTTTGTTTCCATGAATTTTGAGTTCCCAAAATTCCATCCGGCGACTTCATCAGCATTTATTGAAAAAAAATTGAAGCAAATCTCACCATGATGCACAAAAAATAATAAAACTATGAGGAGGGACGTTCGGATTGCTATCTTACTTGTCGCATTGTACTAAGATAGGATGAAACCAATGGTAACAATTCTCGTTTCGTGCTCCGAAGGCGATGCGCACGGAAATGCACACATTCGCTTTAAAAAGCAAAATACATCATTACGTCAATTCAATCATTTTCAAAAGCCGCGAAATCATCCTTCGACCTTGAAGAAAACCATCGTCATTCGTTAGAAAAAAAAATGCAAATGTTACTCACTGACTACAGATTTCTCGGCGTTGCCCATGACGAAGGGCGCGTTTTCATCCTGCTCGAAGGAAGTCAAGCCTACCGCCGAAAATCCTAGACCCGTTCCCACGACTGTTCCAATCACAGACCAAACGGATGCACAAAGGACCTTCAATAGAAGTTAGATACGAGAAAATATTTGAGCATGCATCTACTTCGTAAGCACAGAAATTCAAAATTTAAACCTCTTCAAAAGTAAGTTCTGAAGATAGGAATCATCACCAACTAACCACGCGCGAAAGATTTAGCCGTTATTAATCATGAGAATATTATGCGTGAATCATGACTTGATATGCAGGAAAAAATAATAAAATCACGTCTCGGTGAAATAAAATATAGCGACGTTATTTGATAGATTTTCTTTAAAATGTGGAAGCTGGAAATATGGCTACCTCCGGAATTCTCTTACCTGCTGAAGAAATCCTTGGTGCTGATGCAAAGGTTTCTTTCTGCCTTTCGTCGTCATATTTATTAATCCTGGTTTGTCAGTGAACACGAGTTCTCATTAAAAAAAAAAACCTAGAATAGTTGAGGAAATTAATCAATGCGCCGCATTGCTATAGAAGATCGTAATCCAGTTGTGTCAGAATAGCAAAAATTCCCTCAATTTTTATTCAAATGCTAGGCTATATTTTTTCATCAGAAGAAAATCTAGCGCATCGAGAAAAGTAATCATGCTATAAACCGCGGAAAGTACCGATTGCTTGTTCTTTTCTTCCACCCCGTGGTTCGCTATCCAAGAATTGTTGGCTGTATTACGATTCCTTTGACTTTCCTTCGATTGCTGTTCGTCAGGAAGAATTAAAAATATTGAAGAAAGTATCATTAAACTTTCCTGATATTGGAAAGAAACTCAGAAAATCGTGACTTTTTATAAATCTCTACACGCACTCGCAGGTATAGGCCACGCCATAATTTCATCTGGTCGTCGCGAAGATAGTCCTGACATGCATATAACATAGAAATATCACTCGCACTTGAGTCAATTCAACGAATGAATGATCAAACCGTTCGAAGATGTATAACGCGGTAAAATGCGGAGTTCGAGAGTCCTCGTATTAATACCGGTTAGTTTTGCTTCCACGGTTAACCAAGCCTCTGGATTGCGAAATACTTGTCGAAAAGAAGTTTGATAAAAAAAAAGCCATCCAATATTTCAGTGTTCAAAGCCACTTTACGCGTTTGTTGGGTTATCCACGATAGAGTTCAAACTGGACATTCAACTTATGGTCCACAAGTTCGAGACTCGGGGTCTTCCTGTCACAACATTCGTGTTTCATCATTCGCTTTCTTTCGTATTCGACTTCATTCTTCCTCGAGCAGCTCGATGAAGAA